TAAACCAAGGATGGTCTCGATCTTCTGAACCTTGCTGATCCGAACCGATTGCCTCCCAAAGTGCTGGGATTACAGGCTTGAGCCACCGCGCCCGGCCGCCCAGCTAATTTTTGTAATTTTAGTACAGATGGGGTTTCACCATGTTAGCCAGGCTGGTCTCGAATTCCTGACCTCAGGTGATCTGCCATTCTCAACCTCCCAAAGTGCTGGGATTACAAGTGTGAACCACCACTCCTGGACTGTTTTTAAATTTTATTATTATAGTTTTTGAGACAGGGTCTCATTCTGTCACCCAGGCTAGAGTGGAGTGAAGCCTTCAGTGCTTGCTGTGACCTCGACCTCCTGAGCTCAAGTGATCCTCCCACCTCAGCTCCCAAGTAGCTGGAATGACAGACTCGTGCCACCACATCCAGCATTTTTTTTTTTTTTTTTTTCAGGAGTCTTGCTACTCTGTCACCCAGGCTAGAGTGCAGTGGTGCCATCTCAGCTCACTGCAACCTTTGCCTCCCGGGTTCAAGCGATTATCCTGGCTCAGCCTCCTGAGTAGCTGAGATTACAGGCACATGACACTATGCCTGGCAAATTTTTGTATTTTTAGTAGAGACAGAGTTTCATCATGTTGATCAGGCTGGTCTCGAACTCCTGACCTCGTGATCCGCCCGCCTTGACCTCCCAAAGTGCTGGGATTGTAGTTGTGAGCCATCGCGCCCGACCTACCCAGATAATTTTTACTTTTTTTTTTTTGTAGAAATGGGGGGGTCTGGCTACGTTGTCTAGGCTGCATAACCTTATATAACAAGGAAGTTCTTAGATTAGGTAACTTTACTCCCTCCTGCTTCAAACACAGCACATTCCCACTTTACATGCCCGAGTTCAGATTAGCAAAAAGCACCTTTGGCAGGGCATGGTGACTCATGCCTGTAATCCCACCACTTTGGGAGGCCGAGGTGGGTGGATCACCTGAACTCAGGAGTTCGAGACCAGCCTAGCCAACATGGTGAAACCCCATCTCTACTAAAAATACAAAGATTAGCTGGGCTTGGTGGCAGGCGCCTGTAATCCCAGCTACTCAGGAGGCTGAGACAGGAGAATCGCTCAAATCCAGGAGGCGGAGTTTGCAGTGAACTGAAATCGCGCCACTGCACTACAGCCTGGGTGACAGAGTGAGACTCCATCTCAAAAAAAAAAAAAAAAGAAAAAAATGAAAAAAATGAAAAAAGCACCTTCTTGGGGCTGGGTGCTGGGGCTCATGCCTATAATCCCAGCACTTTGGGAGGCCGAGATGGGTGGATCACCTGAGATCGGGAGTTTGAGACCAGCCTGACCAATAAGGAGAAACCCTGTCTGTACTAAAAATACGAAAAATTAGCCTGGCGTGGTGGCTGGTGGCAGGCGCCTGTAATCCCAGCTACTCGGGAGGCTGAGGTAGGAGAATTGCTTGAACCTGGGAGGCACAGGTTGCAGTGAGCCGAGATGCTGCCACTGCACTCCAGCCTGGGTGACAGAGCAAGACTCCATCTCAAAAAAAAAAAAAGAAAAGAAAACAATTTTCTTTATTTATAGTAGAGATTTAGTAGTATTTTTAGTAGTGACGGGGTTTTATCATGTTGGCCAGGCTGGTCTAAACTCCTGACCTCAGGTGACCCGCCCACCTTGGCCTCCCAAAGTGCTGGGATTACAGGTATGAGCCACCAGCCTTTTTGTTTTGAGACAGGATCTCGCTCTGTCTCCCAGGCTTGGGTGCAGTGGTTCAATCTCAGCTCACTGCAACTTCCTCCCACCAGGCTCAAGTGATCCTCCCACCTCAGCCTCCTGAGTAACTGGGAACGCAGGCATGCACCACCATGCCCAGCTAATTTTTTTTTTTTTTTGTAGTTTTGGTAGAGACAGTGTCTCACCATATTGCCCAGGCTGGTCTCAAACTCCTGAGCTCAAGCGATCCATCAGCCTCCCAAAGTGCTGGTGGGACTGTGGGCATGAGCCACTGTGCCCAGCATAAATGCATCTGGATGTAGATGAAAGGAAGGAGAGAGGGCTGCTCCACATATTCTGCTGTCACTAATGGAATGGACGACCTCCGCCAACTGCATCACATTCTCAGAGCCTAGGTTTCCCTGGCCATAAAATATGGGGTTAATTGTCCCTTCTAGGAAATCTAGGAGGATTAATTGGGCAATGGCTCTGAAGTGTCTAAGAGGAGAAGATCTATAAATATAAGGGATCATTAGCGGGTATTTCACAGCCGTTTTGTGGGCCCCAGTGTTATTATTAATATGATTATTGTTATTGTTATCGCCCCCATGGCCCACTTCCCGAGTCTCTCCCAGCTGGGTCAGTGCTTTCAGGTGACAAGTGCTGCTCCTGAGCCCAGCCTCCAGCCCCTGTTCCCAGCCCTGGTCCTTCTGAACCCACACCCTCCACACTCAGGGTCTCTGGGAACCCTCAGGAGGCTAGCAATGGGACTGAGATGTGGTTTTGACAGAAGTGAGGGCCTAGGAGGGAGAGGGGCAGAGGCAGAGAGGGCAGTGCCTGGTCAGGGACACTCTCAGCCTCCCTTTGTCCCTGGGGACGCTTCCGGTCTGCAGTGGGCTGGGACTCAGAGAAGCAGACTGGGCGCCACATGGAGCTGTGGTCGATGGGATCAGGAAAGGTGGGGAGCAGGGGAGTGCAGGTGAGGGGCTGAGGCAGAGAGAAGATAATGCTACCAGGGGAGGTAAGAGGAGCTGGTTGGTAGGAAACAAATTCCTTGAAGAGGTAAATGTGTTTGTTTGTTTTTGTTTTCAGACAGGGAGACACGGTTTTGCTTTGTCACCCAGGGCAGAGTACAGTGTTGCAAACACAGCTCACTACAGCCTCGAATTCCTAGGCTCAAGGGATCCTCCCGCCTCAGCCTCCCAAGTAGCTGGGACTACAGTTGAGAGCCACCAAGCCTGGCTAATTTTTAAAATTTTTGTAGAGATGGGGGTCTCACTATGTTGCCCAGGCTAATCTCTAACTTCTGGGCTCAAGATGCAATCCTCCTGCCCGAGGCTCCCCCAAGTACTGGGGTTACAGGCATGAGCCACCATGCCTGGCCCAAATGGCTTTTTTTGTTGTTTTGTCTTTTTTTTTTTTGAAATGGAGTCCCACTCTGTCACCCAGCCTGGAGTGCAGTGGCAAGATCTCGGCTCACTGCAACCTCCGCCTCCCAGATTCAAGTGATTCTACTGCCTCAGTCTCCCAAGTAGCTGGGACTACAAGAACGTGCCACCACACCTGGCTAATTTTTGTATTTTTAGTAGAGATGGGGTTTCGCCATGTTGGCCAGGCTGGTCTTGAATACCTGGCCTCAGGTGATCCACCCACCTCAGCCTCCCAAAATGCTGGGATTACAGGGGTAAGCCACTGCACCCGGCCCCAAATGACTCTTTTTAAGGAGTTTCTTTGTAGAGGCTGGAACCCACTCTCAGTCTCTGAATGAAACAGGCCCCATTCCTGGGGGAATAGCTGCTTGTCAAGCTGGATCTCCCTGCCCGCCCTGTGTTCCTGTAAGGTGAACACTGGGCAGCTGCTTTGGAAATGCCTTGGGTGCCCCCTGGTGGTGACACACAAAGGCAGAGGAGGCACCCATGCCTTCCACTTTAAAGGGCTCCTTTTACCTGGGGCCCTGCCCTTTCTCCCTGAGGCTCCACAGATCCCACCCCAGGGAGACTGGGGGTAGAAAGAAGCAGCAAAGAAGGAAGAACCTTGTGGGGAAGGATGAGTGGAATGTCCTTGCTGGAAGATTCCATGGCAGTTGGTGGGGAGCCATCAGCCTGGACAGGGGAACCAGGGACAGAGGAAGTTGATGTGTTAGGGCAGGAGTCAGGAGTGGCATCCCCAGCAGTGAGGACAGAGGTGTGTCTGTATGTGTGCATCCGGGGTGTGGTGTAACAGGGAGATACATCTTATAGCCTTTGTCAATGTTTCATGTTCACAGAAGACTGAGGAAACCTAGATCCCTGAAATCATTGATGGACCCTAGGAGGAAAAAAAAAATAACCCAAATTCATCCAAGCTAGGTGTTTGTCCCATCAAATAGTTTTGTGGGTCTGCATATGAGAGAGTCTGGGTTACAAAAGTCTGCAACTCTGGGCTGGGAGCAGTGGCTCATGCCTGTAATCCCAGAACTTTGGGAGGCCGAGGCACGTGGATCACCTGAGGTCAAGAGTTCGAGACAAGCCTGGCCAAAATGATGAAACTCCATCTCTACTAAAAATATAAAAATTAGCTGGGCGTGGTGACACCCACCTGTAATCCCAGCTACTCAGGAGGCTGAGGCAAGAGAATTGCTTTTTTTTTTTCTTTTTTTTTTTTTTTTGAGACGGAGTCTTGCCCTGTCGCCCAGGCTGGGGTGCAGTGGCCAGATCTCAGCTCACTGCAAGCTCCGCCTCCTGGGTTTATGCCATTCTCCTGCCTCAACCTCCCGAGTAGCTGGGACTACAGGCGCCCGCCACCTCACCCGGCTACTTTTTTGTATTTTTTAGTAGAGAGGGGTTTCACCGTGTTAGAAAGGATGGTCTCAATCTCCTGACCTCGTGATCCGCCCATCTCGGCCTCCCAAAGTGCTGGGATTACAGGCTTGAGCCACCACGCCCGGCTGAGAATTGCTTGAACCTGGGAGGTGGAGGTTGCAGTGAGCCGAGACCTCATCATTGTGCTCCAGCCTGGGCAACAGAGCAAGACAGTCTCAAAAAAAAAAAAAAAAAAAAAACAGTTTGCAATTTTGGTTTCCCCATAGGTAGAAAGGGAAGAGATGAGAACATAGAAAACCATAGGAGGGAAAAGGGAGAAGCAGAGGTTACTGGGAAATCCTTAAGGCAAAACAAGCCGTCTTTAGAAGGCTGGGTTGGCTGTAACTCTTCAAAGATAAACACCAACAATAAAGGTTGGGTTGTAGCTATGAGTGAGGCCCAACAGAGAATCAAGATGGTTGGCCTGATATTCTTCTAGTTTCTGGACCAACAGCACCAGCTATACCATGTGGTTTCATAGGAGGCTCCAGGAGGGATCTGAAGCTTTTTTTTTTTTTTTTTAATTATACTTTAAGTTCTAGAGTATACGTGCACAACATGCAGGTTTGTTACATAGGTATACATGTGCCATGCCGGTTTGCTGCACCCATCAACTTGTCATTTACATTAGATATTTCTCCTAATGCTATCCCTCCCCCAGCCCCCAACCCCCTGACAGGCCCAGATGTGTGATGTTCCCTGCCCAGATCTGAGCATCTTGAGAGCAGAGGCTGTAGTTCCACATCCTTCCGTCCAGCACCCTTCCTCAGCATCCTGGGGGAGAGATGTTCACTGTCTGGTACTGATGGATTAGATGAGGACAGCCCTGTGCAAAAAAGGACAGAGAATGTCAGGAAGCAGGAAAAGCACAGGAAAGTGAAGAAAGAAGGGGATTCAGGCTGAGCGCAGTGGCTCAAGCCTGTAATCCCAGCACTTTGGGAGGCCGAGGCGGGTGGATCACCAGGTCAGGAGTTTGAGACCAGCCTGGCCAACATGGTGAAACCACGTCTCTACTAAAAATACAAAAATTAGCCGGGCGTGGTGGCGGGCGCCTGTAATCCCAGCTACTAGGGAGGCTAAGGCAGGAGAATCGCTTGAACCTGGGAGGTGGAGGTTGAGGTGAGCTGAGATCGTGCCATTGCACTCCAGCCTGGGCAACAAGAGTGAAACTTCATCTCAGGGAAAAAAAAAAAAAAAAAGAAGGGGATTCAGAGGTAGACATGGAAGGAGAAGTGGAAGTGGAAAAAGCTGGGTCTGAAAGAGAAGGGGTAAGTCCCTGAGAAGTGTTAAAAGGATATAGTCATTTAGTCAGTCAGCAAACATTTACTGTGCACCTACTATAATCAAGCAATGTGCTGGGAACGGAAGGTGCCAAGGTAGACAAGACGAGCATGGGGTTTTTAGCGGTGGGGAATGTGTAGCTTTGCAAGTTAGAAATGTAGAGAAAGTGACAATGTGGAGTAGAAAGAAACTGAAAGCAGTTGGAGACAAAAGGGAAATATCACTGAGAGAACCTGCCTCCAGACACACCAGGGAGGATCTTGCCCCTGGTTGAGGTTGACACACACACTCAGAACCACCCACTGGCCCTGGCTCTGTGAAGATGGCAGCAGGTGGGGTAGGAAGAGGAGAAATTCAGAAAGGGGAGGGACAGGAGTGGGTGGGGGTGGAGGGCACAGACTTTTCCTTGTTTTTCACTTGGGCACCCCCAGTGGGAAGGTATCTTTGGGCTAAGGAGTCCTTTTCCACATTTGGCTGCCCATTGGAATCACCTGAGGAACTCCTTAATACTGATGCCCCCAGAGAGTCCAATTTCCTGGGATGGGACCCAGACTTCAGAACCTATTAAAAGCTCTTTTAGTGAGTCTCAAGTGTGGCCATGGCCAGGTGCAGTGGCTCATGCCTATAACCCTAGCACTTTGGGAGACTGAGGCAGGAGGGTCGCTTGAGTTCAGGAGTTTGAAACCAGCCTGGGCAACATAGGGAGACCCCAGCTCTACAAAAAATTTAAAAATTAGCTGGGCATGGTGGTGCACACCTGTAGTCCCAGCCACTCAAGAGGCGGGAGGATCACTTGGGCTCAGGAGGTTGAGGCTTCAGAGACTCTGTCTGAAAAATAATAAAAATAAAGGGAGGGCACAGTGGTTCATGCTTGTAATCCCAGCACTTTGGGAGGCCGAGGGGGAGGCGGATCATGAGGTCAGGAGTTTGAGACCAGCCTGACCAACACAGTGAAACCCCATCTCTACTAAAAATACAAAAAATAGCCGGCCGTAGTGGCGCGTATCTGTAATCCCAGCTACTCAGGAAACTGAGGCAGGAGAATCGCTTAAACCTGCGAGGCAGAGATTGCAGTGAGCTGAGATAGCGCCACCGCACTCAAGCCTGCGCGATGAAGCGAGACTCCGTCTCTAAATAAATAAATAAATAAATAAATAAATAAATAAATAAATAATTGTGGCCAGAGAGACCACAAGCATTTCCAAGCCATTGTCTGACCTTGTCCTTCTCTGTTGAGGACAGGGGCCATCTTGAAAGAAAAAATCTCTGAGGAGTTGTGTGGTCGTTGGGGGAGCAGGGGTGTTTGTGAACGAGGCTCTAAGACTCCAGTGGGCCTGACAAAAGTATGAACTAGGTCTTCTTCTTAGAAAGTGTCCCCTTCCCGCAGTGGCTCACGCCTGTAATCCCAGCACTTGGGGAGGCCGAGGCGGGTGGATCACGAGGCCAGGAGATCGAGACCATCCTGACTAACACGGTAAAACCCCGTCTCTATTAAAAACACAAAAAATTAGCCGGGCGTGGTGGTGGGCACCTGTAGTCCCAGCTACTTGGGAAGTTGAGGCAGGAGAACGGCGTAAACCCAGGAGGCGGAGCTTGCAGTGAGCCGAGATCGCACCACTGTACTCCAGCTTGGGCGACAGAGCGAGACTCCATCTCAAAAAAAAAAAAAAAAGAAAAAAGAAAAGCAGCACTGAGGGGGGGGATCACTTGAGGTCAGGAGTTTGAGACCAGCCTGGCCAACATGGTGAAACCCTGTCTCTACTAATAACACAAAAATTGGCCGGGCTTGGTGGCGCACGCCTGTAATCCCAGCTACTCAGGAGGCTGAGGCAGGAGATTCGCTTGAACCTGGGAGGCAGAGGTTGCAGTGAGCTGAGATCGCACCACAGCACTGCAGCCTGGGTGACAGAGCAAGACTCCATCTCCAAAAAAAAAAAAAGAAAGAAAGAAAGAAAGAAAGAAAAAACAAAAAAAACCCAAAGGGTCCTCCCCTTCTTTGGCTGTGTCTCTAGTAAGAAGAGTCAGACAGTCTAGAAACAAAACAAAAACAAAAACAAACAAAAGATAAGGTGACCTTTAAAAGGGCAAAACCAATCAAATAATTCAAAACGACTGCAGAATTCTTCCAAGTTTTCACGCCCTGTCCTCCGCCCCGTGTGTGCACACTTTTTTTTTTTTTTTCACCTCTGCGGTCTTCAAGATGGGGCCTCTAGGTTAGAAGCATAGTTACCCCCAGTTTTTCTCCCAGAAGAGGTTTGACAGTGGCCCAGCAGGATATTCAACCCCACCTACCTCCCCCCCAAATCCCTGCACCCTAATACAGGTGAGTCATGGAACCTGGGTGGAGTCCTTGGTTTGACAGTGAAGCAATCTAAACTTGAAAAATGGCCTGGGAACAGAATGTATGGACTATATAAACAAGTCATGCAGATGTCATTGTATGCAAATATTCATTCTTTAACTCAGCTTACATTTCCTGCTGATCCTCCTCTATGCTGGCCTCAATCCTTCTACCACAGCTCAGTCTAGCAAGAGAGCAAGAAGTGAGAATAAAAGTGTGGAAATAGTGTGTGAGAGAGAAGCCCTTTTGCATGTGCCAGGGCAGCGCAGAGGAGGAAGAAGCTATAGCTAGGCAGGAGTGAGGTATGCAGACTTACAGCAGAGTCTTGAAGCATGCATAGGAGTTTATCTATTTTTCTGAGAGACAGGGTCTCGCTCTGTCACCCAGGCTGGAGTGCAGTGGTGTGATCATAGCTCATTTTAAGTTCAAACTCCTAGGCTCAAGTGATCCACCCACCTCAGCTTCCCAGGTAGCTAGAACTACAAGTGTGCACCGCCCCATGCGGCTTTTTTGTAGAGACAGGGTTTCGCCATGTTGCCCAGGCTGGGTCTCGAAATCCTGGGTTCAAGCGATCCACCTGCCTCTGGCTTCCCAAAGCGCTAGGAATACAGGTGTGAGCCACCACATCTGGCCATGGATGCATAGGGGTTTACCAGAAGGGAAGGGTAAGATAGAAAGTCAACTAGTGGAAAAAAGCGTGTTTAGGAACCTGGAATCTTTCCTGGAGGGAAAAGGGTAGGATTTGTAGGAAGGGAATGCGGGGTACAGGGAGGAGATAAAGCATGAAAGATACATCAGTAAGAGTGTGTCCTCTGGTGGATGCTGAGGTTAAGAAGAAAAAAGAGTGGGAGGAATTTGCCTAGAAAGAAGTTTGGGCTTTATCCAGGAGATACGGATCCCATGAAGGATCTTTACTAGAGGAGTGTTATCGTCTAAAGTCTTGTTTTTCAAAGGCTAACACTGAGAGGAGTAGACTGGAAGAGGCTATTAACATTTTTTCAGCAATTACTGTGTACCCGGAATTCTGCTCCGCATTTTGTATTATCAACCAACCTTTCCTAGCAGTGTTTTTCAAATTGTCAGTCATGATCAACAAGAACGAGAATAAGATAGGATAGGCATAGAAACTATCAGTGTATCACAAGTAGTAAGCATTGTTTTCAGAAACTTTGTGACACTCTCAAACAGAAGTGTACTGGTCAGTATGCAAAATGTATTTCTCTTGATGGGCTATGTTTTGTTTTGTTTTTTAAAGCCATTGCGCTAAGGTGTAGGTGTGATTAACCTCGTTTTACTGATGAGGACACGAGGCTCAGGGAGTTTCGGTACCCTGCCTAAGTTAGTAGGATGTGTAGGTTTCAAACCCAGACTGGTCTGAAGTCAGAATGGATTCCCTCACTAAGCTAGGCAGCCTTCCCAAGTTCCCGGAAGAGACTTGGGAGCAAAGATAAACCTATCCAGATAGTGCCTACCAAGTGCTTTACCTCATCTCAAGAAGATAAGGGTAAGTGGGGCAGAGGCCAAGCAGTACTTCTCAAACTCAAGCGTGCAACTCTGTCCATGCCAGGCCCTTGCTAAAATGCAGATTCTAGGCACGCCCCGTGAAGTACCGAGTAGGATTAGGAGAGGCGGCCCGGGGAACCTGCCTTTAGAAAGAGCTTCGGATGATTCAGATGCACACGTTTGGGACCGTGGGCTATGGGGGTCGCCGCAATAACCATGTGAAGATTAACGGGGGCTTAACCGATTGTGAAAATCCCTTCAGAAGTGTCGCGTAAACAACCCCAACTCTGACTATGGTGCCGGACCCCAGTGCCTCACTGTACAAAGTCACCCCTCCCGAGGCGACAACGAGCGAGGGACTAAATAAAAGGTTGATGGCTTTCCACTCACCAGGCATGGGGTTGAGTGGCAGCCGGCTACCGCCGAAAAGCAGGTAAAACCTCCTGCCACACCTGGGCGAGACCGGACTTAGGGTACAATGTATATGCTATTTCTGGGGCATTTGTGGGCCTCACCCTAAGGACTTCTGATTGGCTTCAGGGCAGATCTATCACTCATCCTCTGGGTTAGAGGTGGGTGGAAGGTCAACCACGACCAATACAAAAGCACTCTTCGACTAAGCCCCTCCCCTCCCAGCTTCCTGTCGCTGTCCATCAACCACCCAGTAGGCGGGACTTTGCCTCCCTCCAATTGGCTGATAAACATGTCATTCATTATTCAATTGGTTTTCGGTTGGTGCGGTCTACCGTCCATCAGTGACATTGCACAGACCTATTGGTCAAATCAACGTCGCTCTAGACGCCTCTGGTTGATTGGTTAATAGTGCTGTCGGTCCCCAATGTTCCAAGCCCTTATTGGTGAAAGCTGCCGTCGCTCGGGCGGTGGCGGCCTCCGGGATTGGCGGGTGCTTGGCGGGCGGTGTCAGGCTCTCGGTGGCGGCGGAGGCGGCGGAGGCCAGGGAGGAAGATGTCGTAATGAGCGGTGGGTCCCGGCCGCTGCCGGCGGGGTCTTCCCGGCCCCCAAGGGTCGGGAAGACGGGCAGAGGCCGCGGGGAGAGGGAGCCGAGGCCGGGGGTTCCCCCCTGGGGCCGGGCCTGGCGCCGGGGCCCGGCTTCGGGAGGGGCGGGGGAGGGAGGATTCCCGCCCGGAGGAGGAGCGGGGCTGGCCAGCCGGGCGGAGGCACCCGGAAGGGGGCGTTCGACTCCCCGCCCCCTCGGAGCCCGCCGGACGGGAGGGCGGCGCTTCCGGGGGCCGGCGAGAGGAACGGGCACCGGGGTGGCCTGGCACCTCTCAGCCGGGTGCCGACCCACCTCAGCGCCGCTCTCCTGCCTGGGCGGACTATGCATGAGTCGGCTCCGAGGAGGCAGCCAACAGCCCTCGTGTTCGCCCCATGTCTGAGAGGCCTTCCTGCACTCTTAACTGTAGATGCCCACCAGCGATTCAGGGCTCCCCGAAGTACAGAGGGGCGAGGGAACGCTTGAGATCCGGACGCTGCCAACCAGATGGGCACTGCTCGGCATCGACGACAGCCCGGTTACTGATGTATCCCAGTCGGGCGATGGTGTCAGGACACGAGGGCACTCTCTGGGCAGATGATCTCTCACTGGGGAGTGGGCAAAAACCTTCCTTTAATGTTTTCACTTGGATCATTGATCCTCCAGCTAGATGCAAGCTCTTAGCAGAATTGTGAGAAGTTTGAGAACTTCTTGCCAGAGCTCCCAGCCTATTACCTGACGCCCCGTGGGGGAAGACTACTGCAGTCCCAAAGCTCAGGCGCAAACAATCTTAAGGAATTACAGAAGAAATAAAATAGATACTTGCTTTCTTCCTCCACCCACCTGCATCCCCATTGCTGACTTACGGTTTTCAGCCTCTTACCCATGCTTCTTAGGTTTCCTTCCCAGCGGCTTTCTAATTTTAGTTCAAAAGGAACTATGTCTTCTCTGGGCAACTGAGAAACCTATCCTCACTGCATTCCTTGGTTTTGATTGCAATATCCTGTCATGTTTGTTTCTTAATTAACTTCATCCAAGGGGACTCAGTCTGGCCTTTCTCAGTGCATTCTCCCAAAGTTCTTTCTTCCTCTGAGGTTACTTCTTGTTCACTTATTGTTTCCTAGAGAAAGGTATGAGCCAGTAGATCTGCTTTAAACAATGAATTGGCCCAAGTTTCCCGTTTACAGATTTCATTACAGTTGGAAGGACACTGTTTCAAGGTGCACTGGCCTGCACTGTCTAAAACAGTTTCATGCTGTACCCCAGAAGGCATTCAGTTTCACATTGGAGGGCTGTACCGAGTTGGTATTCTGGATGATACAATTTTTAGGGCTCGACAATTTAGAGTGTTGGCCAGCTCACAGGCTGCAAAGGGAATAATGGAGTCCAGAGCACAGCAGTAATTTCAATTACTAACACAAAGAAACCCATTGTCTGCAATAATGAATATAACTGCAGTGTCCTGTTTTGTTTTAAATTCTTGTGTGCGATGAAGGGGGGGAATCTATCAGACAACCTATCAATTGGGCTGATGATGTCAGTGTTCCAGTGGCTTCTAACAGGCGTTAATACCTGTTGGAAATGGATTATCATTGGCTGGGACGATTGGTAAGTTTTCTAATTCTAGTTCTTCCTCTTGGTTGTACAGAGGCTTAACCTCTTTGGTTAAAAGCAACTACAAGAAAAAAAACTAGTCTGACATAATTATGAACCCCCCTGAACTAGGCTGCTGAAGCCACAAACTCTACCAAGGAGACCCAAGTAGAGTTTGTTAATAATCAGACCCTCATCTGACTGCCCAACAGGTAGAACTGGTTCCAGGAGAAAGAGTTTGGCATCACTCTGGACAGCAGATGGACTGGCCACTTTTTTCTCTCAGATTCTATTAAAGTTTGGGCCTGTGGAGGCCTGTCAGAGAGGAGAAAAGAAATTATAAGATTTGGGTAAATGTCTGGGGTAAAGAAGCTTTATGGCATTTCAGCAAGTAGAGTGGTTGGTTCATTTGGATATTTTGGCCTTGAACTTCTTATTTCTTCTGGTGGTTAATACCAGCTTTTTGGAGAAGTTGGATAGTCCTTTGCTATAGGTCTGTGTCAGTTCCCAAGCTTGCTGTCAGCAAGTATAGTATTGCCCAACCAGGGCCCTTCTGAAGACATTTTAAACTTGTTGCAACCAACTAGTAGACCTTAGTATTGGCTTTGTTTCAGCAATCTTCTAAATCTTGCCCACTCATTTCTGTGATATATACGTAACGTGTTCTTTTTCTAATACTTATTTTTTTCACACACACCCCTTTTATGTATACACAAAAATTGGAAACCCTGCTTCCAAACATAGAAAAATTTAGGATATTTTGGATCAGGTGGACAATGGCTATGGAATAAAAGATGCAGAGAAACACTGCTTTAAAGGGTACACAGAGAATTACAAAGTTTAGGGATGCAGTAGCATGAACATTTCTGAGTTTACCAGATTTAACCTCATGGCCCGATCTTAAACCTTGTGGGCTGCAAACCTGGAGTAAAATCTGTTCAGAGAAGCTCGTATACTTTCTTACAGGTTCATTGGGTGATATGTCTGGAGTATTCCCTTTTTGCAACTGACTTGGATTTGTGAATTTCTTCCCACCACCTACAGGCTGAACTAAACCAGTATCCAGTACATTTCTGGGCTGAGAAATGGAGATCATTTTGGAATGCATTTGTTACTTTTTTGCTTGTTTTTGCCTTGCTTTTGTTTTGGATATGCTTGCAACTCCTTGTATGACATTGTCTAGACCTGTTGCAGGAGGAAAAAAAATTCTTTCTCTTTATTTCTTCCCTCATAGAGCCAACACTTAGATCTTTATCTTTCTGAAATGTAGTTGAGTGTCTTTTTAAAGATGCTCTTCCTCAATAATCAGCAGATCTTTTTTTGGCTAGCAGCATTCTCTTAGGAGACCTCGGGGTGGAGGAGATCTCACTTTTCTGTCAGCCATCTATTGGAGCAAGGTGGAAAGATGAGTGAAGAGGGTAAAAATATGGGACATTTCTTTTTTAAAAATAATAGAGGCATAGTCTCTCTATGCCAGGCTGGTCTCAAACTCCTGGCCTCAAGTAATCCTCCCACCTCAGCCTCCCAAAGTGCTGGGATTACAGGCATGAGCCACTGTGCCTAGCCAACAAGGGATATTTCTAACTCGAGGGTATTGTCAGGCTATGTGGGAAAGGGCGTAGAGATTGCCCTTGAGGAGATACTCCCAGGTGGCAGATTTGTCCTACTTGATAGATTCCAAAATGGAAAACGGATTTTTCTACTGCCTCTGGGGACACTGGAAAAAGAACCTCCACGTGAGTTCAGAAGCAGCACTGGCAGCTTAGGGGAAGTCATGGCTTCCACTGCGTGTCTAGGAAGCGCTCTTTCAGGATGCTCTGAGGCTGCCACTGGCACAGGGGAACACTGTGCTTCTCATCCAACTGGGCTGCAGGCTGATTTGCTCTTGGGAGATGAGCTCTGCTCAGGAGCAAGGGGTTGTGAAAGGGCTGATGTTTCTCAGGCTCCCCCAATGAGCAGCTCCAAGCAGTGCTGAGATGTCTAGGCTGTTTGTGTCACAGGACAAGCATGCTTGCAGACCCAATGGTTGGAATCCTTCATTGGCATTTCATTCCCGTTGCTGCTGTTTGTCTCCACATCAGAATTGCTTGCTATACCTAGCCAGAAGCCCTGCCACATTGCAGTGCAAAGGCTTAGCTTACTTGTTTTTGCTGCTGAGTGCTCTTAGATACCAGTTTGTCCCTGTGTGGTGATTTAGGCAGTTAGGTGGCCTTTCCTCTCAATCACAGAGTAGAAGTGGCTCAGGAGGAGCCAGCAGACACTAACTTACACATTTCCAAATGTCATCTTTCTAGAGCCTTCTCTTTAGGGTTGTCACCTCTCCTACAAGATTTGGTAGAATCACAAAGTGGCCTCCAAGAGAGTGTGAATAGGAAGTAAGAGTGAGCAGGCAGGGCCATGTAATTGGAAGTGGAATATTTCTGCTCCCAGTTGATAATTAGGAATCTTCTTAGATCAGCCTAGAAGAAAACAAACCAAGACATTTCCCAGCCTCCAAAAAAGTAAATGGTAAGCCAGCCCTGTCTTCTCAGGGGAAATGAAATCACCACTCATTTCAGAAGCTGATTCTGGCCTGGGGCTGGGGTTGGTAATCATGCCTGTAATCCCAGCACTTTGGGAGGCTGAGGCAGGCAGATCACTTAAGGTCAGGAGTTCGAGACCAGCCTGGCTAACATGGCAAAACCCCATCTCTACTAAAGATACAAAAATTAGCCACGTGTAGTGGCACACACCTGTAGTCCCAGCTATTCCGGAGGCTGAGGCACGGGAATCACTTGAACCCAGGAGGCGGAGATTGCAGTGAGCCGAGAGTGCACCACTGTACCCAAGCCTGGGCGACAGAGCAAGACTCTCCAAACAAACAAACAAACAAACAAAAAGCTGATCCTGGCCCAGGATAAGTGTGGGGAGTTACTCACAAATAAATGTGCCAAAGCACATAATGAGATTCTTTAGGGGAAAAAGTATATCTTGCTTTTTTTTCCTCCTGTTCTCTAAGAATTCTGAGGCCCAGTATTCTTTGACAAAAAAACTTGATGCTGTTTCTTGGGCCTGCTTTGATCAGGTTCTCTTTATGCTGTCCCCACCCCCACACATTTCCAGAGTCCCTTCCAGTACAATGGGATATGACCCAGTCAGGATGCAAACTAGCAAATGACATAGTCACGTTTTGGAAAGAAGAATTAAGGGTGGAGACAGACAGGTGGTATCCAAATTCGAGTGCCTTCATTATCTTTTTTTTTTTGAGACAGAGTCTCGCTCTGTTGCCAGGCTGAAGTGCAATGGCGCGATCTTGGCTCATTGCAACTTCCGCCTCCCGAGTTCAAGCGATTCTCCTGTCTCAGCCTCCCAAGTAGCTGGGACTATAGGCATGCGCCACCACGCCCAGCTAATTTTGTATTTTTAGAAGAGATAGGGTTTCACTGGGTTGGCCAGGATGATCTCCAACTCTTGACCTCATGATCTGCCCGCCTCAGCCTCCCAAAGTGCTGGGATTACAGGCATGAACCACTCGCCCGGCTATGTTTGTTGTTGTTGTTGTTGTTGCTTTGTTTTTGTTTTGTTTTTTTTTGAGATGGAGTTCCTGGCTGGAGTGCAGTGGTGCAATCCTGGCTCCGCCAATGCTTGTCAATTGAGGGAAGCATTAATAATGCATGTCAATTGAGAGAAGCATTGAAATGCAGTAGTACCTGGTATGTGGTGATGAGAGTTGTGCGCTTTGAAGTTTTTGGCCAGGAGCAGGACTGGACTGCACTGGCCCACATGTGAGGTGACTGGTGGGGTTGAGGGTTCCATCAGCTAAAACCCATCAGGGTCTGGGTCAGCTGTGGAGTGGATCCTGACCTACTGCCAGGGTATGCAAATCTGCAGCTTTTCTACTTTGGTTCCTACACTCCCTTTAGGCTCTCGTGCTGTAAAGCCTCCAGGATTTACTCATTCACTTATTCAACAAACATAGATTGTTAAGCACCTACCATGTGCCAGGGACTGGGATACATCAGTGAGTAACGCAGAGAAGTCCCTGCCTTTAGGAAGCTTACATCTTAGTGGGAGACAATGAATAACTAATAGATATTTGTTAGACAGTGAGAAGTGCTAAGGAGGCAAAACGAGGATAAGGAAAAAAAGGGGGAGGTGGCAATTTACATAGGGTGATCAGGGAAGGTCTCAATGATAAAGTGACATCTGAATAAAACCCTGAAGGAGTGGGGAGGAGATTGAGCCTTGTTCTGTCTGGGGTGAGGGGAGGAGAGTGAGAACTCAGCAGAGAGAAGAGCAATGCAAAGGCCCTCAGCAGGGGTCATACTTGGTATGTTCAGGAACAGCAGGGAGCCAGCAGGCTAAAGCAGTGAGAGAGGGAGAGTGACAGGGCAGGTGAAAGAGGTCAGGTCCCCCAGGGGCCTTCTGTGTCACGATGGAGATTTTGGCTCTTACTTTGAGTGGGAGATGGGATGGTATTGGGGGCTTCTGAGCAGAGAAATAACACAGTTTCATTTAAGTGTGATGGGTCTTACTCTAGATGTGTTGAGAATAGACTGATGGGGTCAAGGTCAGAAGTGCAGGTAGGAGGTTAATCCATGGGAGACATGATAGAAACCTGGACCTAGGTGATGACAGAGGAGGTGGTAGAAGCAGTCAGCCTGGGCATATATTTTGAAGATACGAGTGTTTGCTGTCAAATGTAGGGTGTGGAAAAAAGATAAGGATAACTCCCAAGGTTTTAGGGCTGAGCAGCTGGAAAGATGGAGTTACTATTCATTCACTGACTGCAGTGGGGAATTTTGAAGGAGTCACAGGATTAGGACAATATCGGGAGCACTGTTTGGGGCTAGTTAGATTTTTGTTTTGTTTTGTTTTTTGAGATGGAGTCTCGCTCCTATCACGCAGTCTGGAGTACAGTGGCACAATCTTGGGTCACTGCAACCTCTACCTCCCGCGTTCAAGCGATTCTCCTTCGTCAGCCTCCCGAGGAGCTGGGATTACAGGCATTCGCCACCACACCTGGCTAATTTTTTTATTTTTAGTAGAGATGAGGTTTCGCCATGTTGGCCAGGCTGGTCTCCAACTCCTGATCTCAGGTGATCCACCTGCCTCGGCCTCCCAAAGTGCTGGGATTACAGGCGTGAGCCACCGCGCCCAGCTGGGGCTAGTTAGATTTACGATGCCTATTAATACATCCAAGTGGAGATATCAGTAGGCAGTTGGATATACAAGTCGAGATAGAAAAGTGAGAGTTAAAATTATATAGAATCTGTATCTTACTGGTTTCTAAACCCACGAGACTAGACAAAATCAACTAGGAAACAGGTGTAGACAGAAGAAAGGTCCTGGCCGGGCACGGTGGCTCAAGCCTGTAATCCCAGCACTTTGGGAGGCCGAGACGGGCGGATCACGAGGTCAGGAGATCGAGACCATCCTGGCTAACACAGTGAAACCCCGTCTCTACTAAAAAATACAAAAAACTAGCCGGACGAGGTGGCGGGCGCCTGTAGTCCCAGCTGCTCGGGAGGCTGAGGCAGGAGAATGGCGTAAACCCGGGAGGCGGAGCTTGCAGTGAGCTGAGATCGGCCACTGCACTCCAGCCTGGGCGACAGAGCGAGACTCCGTCTCAAAAAAAAAAAAAAAAAACCAAAAAAAGAAAGGTCCTGAGACAGAGTCCTGGGGCAACCCAATCATTTAGAATTTGAGAGGAGAGGAAGAACCAGCAAAGGAGATATGGGAGAAGTTAGCCAGAGACTAGCAAAGTATGTCCTAGAGGCAAAGTAAAGAAAGTGTTTCAAGGAAGAAGAGGCCGGGCGCAGTGGCTCATGCCTGTAATCCCACCTCCTCGGGAGGCTGAGGTGGCATGAACAGTTTTGGTGGCATGCCTGGGGAGGGTGCAGCCTGGTTGGAGCAGGTTTAAGAAAAGCTAGCAGGAGAGAAATATAGGTAACTCTTGCAAGGAGTTTTGCTTGAGGAGAAGGGAAGACATAATGGATCTTAGCTGATGAGGGAAATTTTAACTTCTTGGTGAAATCGTGGACATACCTAAGGGTCATTGCCTGAGGCTGGGGGTCTGAGATGGGGGGGTGGGGGGAGATGAGAAGCTCAGTAAAGGGTTAATGTGGAGACAAGATCTCCATTCCTTACTCACCTTCTTCCTTCCTTCGGCCTGTGGCATTAGCAAGCCACTGCCCAGAGGTGTTCTCGTTTAATGAAAGCCATTGAAATTTGTTTTACTGTTATTGGGCTCTTTTATCATGGTTTTAATTCATTTGTTTATTTAACATTATTATTATTATTATTTAAAGACAAGGTCTCACTCTGTCACCCAGGCCAGAGCACAGTGGTGCAATCATAGCTCACTGCAGCCTCGACTTCCTGGACTCAAGCAATCCTCTCACCTTGGCCTCCTAAGGAGCTGGGACTACAGGCACACACCACCATACTCAGCTAGTTTGTAAACATTTTTTGTAGAGATGGCATCTTGCTGTGTGGCCCAGGCTAGTCTTGAACCCCTGACCTCAAGTGATCCTCCTGTCTCAGCCTCCCAAAGTGCTTGTATGACAGGCATGAGCCACCATGCCCACCGATCCACATAATGGCTATTATGATTGCTGAGGTTTGCTTCTCATTGAAATATTCAGCACAATTTGGAGTCTTTCACTACCAAGGTTGCTGCTCTCTTCATCCAAATGAATTCTTTTACCCCATTTGTCAGCTTTCTTTGAGGTCCAACTTTGTTCTCTAAAACCAGCCAGGGCATGCTTTTCCCTCACCAGCTCTGAATTCTTCCAGGCTAGGCAACTGGAAAAGCCTGGGCTTAGAAACTGCTTTGTTGGCTTAAGGCCCAGCTGAGCTGACCAAAATAGCCAACAGAAAGACTGTTTGCACAGTGTGAAATTCCTCCAGGGGAAATACCATAGCAAAAGGCCAAGAAAGCCAGAGCCACGATGGCAGGAACCCACAGGCAAAAAAAGCCGTTACCCCCAAGGCCTGGGTTGTGGAGATGGAGCCAAGTTCTCTCCAGAAGGAAAAGCTTCCTAAAGCCTACTGTTGTGGTACTTCTGTAGGCGCCCTTTCTCATTTGCTGGGTCTCAAGAGTAGCATTCTCAGTGAAAGGACCGGTCGAACAGCCTGAAGCCTGGTGGCCAGGGCTCAGAGGTCTCTCTTCCTGTTACGTGCTCTCCCCGAGTCAGGCCTAGAAAGACCTGTGAGACAGGGACACACTCCCAGCTCTGTTGGTGGGACAGTGTGGAAGTGTGCCTGGAGTATGCACTGGCAGGCAGCAGGGTCACCTGCCCCAGACTTGAGGTGGGAGGAGGTCAGGAGAGGCTTTCCCTGAGTGAGAGTATAAATGAGCTCTGAAGGACAGGAGCTGACCAGGCAAATGGGAGAGAGTGTGCTTCAGGCTCCAAGTGAGACAGGGTGGCATGTTTTAATTCCAGAAATGAAAAGCTGAAGTGTGTGTTGGGAGAGG